GCCTGGCCTCTATGTTTAATCTAGTAGCTCGTTCTGTTCTCTGATCTTCAGGTAAAATTATTAGGGTACACAATGCATCACTACATTTTGATGTTTTTATGTTTCATATCCTATTAAAAATATTCACCTATAATTTCTCATCATCATTTCCAGTTCACCCAGTTTATTGCAGTCTGGGGTAAGAATTTTGAAACCAAATTTATTGTTTCTGCGTAATTGTGACCTTACCATTTATAGAACAGTCATTTTTTTTCATCTAATTTCAATACTTCTATTACTGTTTTTGTGTATGTCTTGGGTTTGCTTGTGGGTTTCCTACTTTATTATGTTGATTTTTTTCATTTATTTATTTATTTATTTATTTATTTATTTATTTATTTATTTTTAGGTTTTTCGAGACAGGGTTTTTCTGTGTAGCTTTGCGCCTTTCCTGGAACTCACTTTGTAGCCCAGGCTGGCCTCGAACTCACAGAGATCCGCCTGCCTCTGCCTCCCGAGTGCTTTTTATGCAGGGAGCACTTGCTTAAACCCAAACTGCTCTGTGACTATTACATTACCTGTTCTGAGAGCTCTGCTTTTCGGGTTCGCTATTATTTTGTTATGTTTTACAAACTGTGTCCTCTGGGAATTTAACTGGCAAAGTTAATGTGTAGACTACTTTTCTATCATTACAACTTTGAGGGTTGTCATTTGTAAAAGTGGTATGTATTACCATTTGTTGTTTTTGTGTGTTTATTGGTTTCTGTGTTGTTTTGGAGACAAGGTCTTACTATGCACCCTTAGCTGGCCTGGGACTCACTATGTAGACCAGACTGGTCTTGAATTCACAAAGACTACCTGCCTCTGTCTCCCAAGTGCTGGAAGTGAAGTACTCAGCTTTATTTGGGTGTTTGATGGCCTTAAATTAGGTTTGGGAACTTTTTATTAACTACATTAATTCAGGATAATATATACTTTTTGTTGTAATTACAAACAGCATATGTTCCCATTTTAAAAATTAGAAATGGCTGGTTACAGGTGCTCTAGATTCTTGTGCATTGAATTTTGCTAAGGTCTTTTTCTCAGCTTCAATAAGTTTGAAGATCTTGTGGTGGCTAATCTTGGCTGTCAATTTGATATACCTGGGAAGAGGAACTCTCGATAGAAGAATTGCCTCCATCAGACTGACCTGAAGGCACGTTGTGGACATTTTCTTGGTTGCTGATTGATGGAGGTTGGGGCCAGTCCACTGTGGGTGGTGCCATCCCTAGGCAGGTGAACCTGGGCTGTGTAAGCAAGGAGGCTGAGCAAGCAGATAAGCAGAGTTCCTTTATGGTGCCCACTTCATTTTCTGTTTCCAAGTTCCTGCCCTGTCCTGCCTGCCTTCCTTGTATGGTGACCTGTAAACTCTAAAGTAAATAAACCTTCTCCTCCCCAAGTTGGTCTTGTTCAATGTTTTATCAAGGCAACAGAACACAAACTACAGCCAATCTCTTCCATTTTCTAAACAAATAATATTATCATAGCAAATAGAGACATTTCCTTTCCTTCCCTACCCCCGTGGCTCATCTTTCTTTCATAAAAGGGGCAGTAGTGATTCTTGTCTTTTTAGTGGTTGTAATGGAGTCACTTTTAACATGTCCTCAGGGAACATGGCATGCTTTATAGATCACTGCTAAGTCTCTCAACATGTTTATAAAGATCTTCTAAGTTTTCTAGGAGTTTCTCTACAAATAATTAATAATTTTACCAAATACTATTCTTTATCTTATAAGATGATTTTTTCTTTCTTAAACATTTAAACTGCTAATGTATATTATATCAATAGATTTTCAGATTTTGGACCATCTCTACATTGATTCTTTTTTATATTGGATAAAATTTGCTAATTTTTTTTTTTTTTTTTGGTTTTTCGAGACAGGGTTTCTCTGTGTAGCTTTGCGCGTTTTCCCGGAACTCATTTGGTAGCCCAGGCTGGCCTCGAACTCACGGAGATCTGCCTGGCTCTGCCTCCCGAGTGCTGGGATTAAAGGCGTGCGCCACCACCGCCCAGCTAAAATTTGCTAATTTTTAAACTTTAATTTCATAAGTGCAGATAGTCTAAACTCTCACTCACTCAGTCTTTTTGTGGGTATGCATGTATGTGTACTTTGTGTGTATAATTTGTAGTCTAATTTTGACACCAAGATTCTAATTTTATGAGTTTATAAGCTTGGGCATCTGGAAAGATTTCATTTGACTAAATGAATGTGGGAAGGGGTATTTAGCGCTAAAAAAAATCTTGTCTGTTCAATAAAGTAGATTTCTCAAAAGTTGGAATGATGTCTATTTTTCATGAAATAAAGGAAGCAGATTTTTGTTTTGAATGAAAAAGCATGCCTGTTTTTAACTTTTCAAAATCAAACAATGAACAAAATATAGTTGCTAGCTACTGATCAATAGGACAACAAGTTCTAGGAACCAAAGAAGAAAAAACATGTAAAGAGTCATGGAAATGTTTTTAAAGGCCTCTTTATATCCATTATGGTTGACCAGGTCCTGTGATAGACAAGCTGTTCTTTATCTGGGATGATCCTGGTGGAAATATATTCCACAGAAATTTCCTACATAAATCCTATATTTATATATATTTTTAAAGTATTTTTAGTGCTGTTTACAAATGACCTTTGGAAAAAAATAAATATTATGAAAGTGAGATTCCCATGGCAGAGATTGGGCAATATGCAAGCATGATTTTTTTCATTCCTTTTAAACACTTCTGCTTTTTTTTTAGAGACAAAGAAAGATTTGTTTTCTGTTACATATATTTACATGGCATGTGTTGAGTTATTCTTCCAATCTATAGTTCTTCCACAGGAGCTCTCCTTCAGATATATAGAATGGACATTATGGCTCTCCATGTGCTCTACTCCATAGATGAAATATCTAGGACTTATCTAAGGAAGCATACTTCTTTCCCCCAAAAGGCATAACCCGAACTATCCAGCTGCTTATCTTCTACAAACCGTATAAAATGCACATCCCTTCCGTGTTTCCTGTTGATAGTAGTTTCCCTTTTGTAGCACAACTTCTTTTTCCTCTGGAAAGGCAGTACTAAATAAATACATTCATTAAAAATGAAAAAACCTCACAAACTACAGAATTTTGCCCTGCTGCTCATCACCCAAGGTGCATCCCTGGCATAAGTGGGGAATATGTTACTTAGGTTGTCATCTGCCCCAGCGATGGAAAATAGCCCTTTCACACAGCCCTCTAGGATCCGGGCTTAATACCACGCATCCAGGAAAATCTCTGGGCAGAGGACAAATCGATATGACTGAGATGTCTGAAGAACCTGAGGTCTGACTGCTATTGTCTTCAAGTTCAGCCTTTTGCCAGACTAAGAAGTATTATTCTGTCTTTTCAACCTGTTGCGCCAGATACCAGATACAGAACTTCCCTAGCTGCAAAACTGGCTATGTTTAAAAAAAAAAAAAAAAAAAAAAAAGTTTATTTTCAAATCATTTATCTGGGATCCAAAAAGATTTTCCCAAAAGAACAATTTTGTAAACAGTTGTGTTCAGTGATGCCTGGTTAAGCTACTGTGAACTTGAAATGCAATACCGACAGCATGATTCCCACCAGTTATTTATTTTGTGTCTGGGAAAGTACATTCTGAGTTATGATTCAGAACGCTTGAAGCCCACATCTCCCTGGGCCCAGCAGTCTCTGCTGTAGCTTTTGGGGGCTGTATAGTAGAAGAAAGCAGGAAGAGCAGAGGAGGTATGTTGCCTTCCTATAGCACAGGGAATCCATGTAGATACTTCTGGGCAACTGGTTAACAACTCAGGGCTGAAGAAGAAACTTACTGGTGTGGACCAGCTGCTGCCCAAGTGTTCCCAATGAAGCAGGAAGGGCAGGAGCTGTTTCCTAAATAGAGGTACCTTCTATGTCAGAGCTTCGAGAATAGAGAAGGGCTTTTCAGTAAGACTGTGTGTGTTGATTAAGCTTCTGGATTTGTAATTAGCCAGGGAAAATATTTAAAGCTTCTTGGTCGATGATGAGACAGGGTCTAAACACATACCAATAATAAAACATGGATTTTGTGCTTAGCCCCAGGCCTGACAAACAGTAAGTATTCCAATTTTTTTTAAAAAAGTAAGTACTGACTGAATTCCAAAAAATACAAGACCACAATTGGATGCATGTGTGGGCCAGTGACCTGCATTGTAGCTCAGCAGCTCTGAATGCTGACTCTCCCCTAGCACAGGCTTTCTAGAACTCACCAGAACATCTGTATCACCTGGGAGCGCATATGCGCCAGGCTATGGCTGCCCCAAAGCAGGTGTTGGTCTCCTCATGCACCTTCATTTCTAGTACTATCTCCCCATTGCTAAGACTGAGGAACCAGAGGAAGGTGGGTGTTGATGGGGAAAACCAACAGAGCTATGTAAACCTTAGGATCCTATCTGGTCAAACTGCTCACCCTCCCTTTATTCTGGCCAGTATTATCTACTAAAACAACTGATACATTTTATCTATATTTTCTGTCAGTTGTTTTCCTAACACAGACATATTCTTGGCTAGAACTTAGCCTGGACAGCAGACCTGAGTCTTATCCACTTCAGGTTTTTAACTTGCAGAATGATTTAAATTCATTTTGTAATGCAACTACTTTGAAAAGAAATATGCTATTACAGCTTCCTCAACTACAACCGTCTCCCCTTCCCCCCCCGACTCCACCCCCAACCTCACCCCCATAAGTACGACTGACTGTCCACTTCTTGTTTCATGAACTGTACTTTCTTTTTAAAGCTCTATTTGTGTTCTACGAGACATCCTCCTTCTCCAAGATTAACATTTCTTATGATTGTTCCTGACAATGGATTCACTTCCAGGAGGCCCTGCTTAGGATCACCAAAAAAGGGCATGGAGCGGGCTGGTTTTGGCAGCCTGCTCACAGTTTCAAGCTTTTTAGGACTTGGTTTTTCTGATGAGTGATGTCCTGAGCATGCCTAGGGAATGACAGGCATCTGCACGGACAGACAGCATCACCTTGGCCGGGGTGTCGTCATTGGCTGCCTATTAGAAAAACTACAGCACAATGCATACCACCCCTGCTGACTGTAAACATAGGGGATATGTGTTCACTTAGCATGGACTTCTGGGAGGGGCCAAGGAAGGGCGGTCTGCAGTTTTATTGAATAGAGCAGTGTGCATTAGGCGGTCTGCCTGCCTGGCTGCTTGCTCTCTTGCTGTGTTGCTTAAAGGGACCTCTGCTTCCTTTCTGACGGCGGCGGGCTCAACGTCCTCCTCCTTGGGAAGAAGCTGCTGCCTGAGAGGTAGGACACAGGGTCTTTCTTTTTCCGCCTTCAGGGAAGCGGGAGCCGCTCCGCAGGTTTCAGGCAACATTCCAGGGAAAGGGTGCTGGATATGCAAAACCTTTCCAGGCAGGCAACAGACCGTGTAAATTCCCAAAGCCAGCCTGGACTTCCCTGACCTGCGGATGTTCCCAGAAGGTCAATGTGATGAAACTTCAAGTTTTGTTTCTAGAAATGGGACAAGAGGAAACATCTTATAGTGACATGTTCAGGAAGCATGCGTGACTTTGCCTAGGATGCGATTTTGTTTTCAAGAGGGACCTTGACTGTATACCTGGTAACCTCAGGCTAGTGCCAGCAGTGGGCTCTGCTGGTCTGCCCCTCAGGCAGTTTCTTCTCCATCTTCTACTAGCAGACATTTAAATAGGTTTCAGGTTTCGCTTAAAAAATAACAGCAACAATTTTTGATATTGTTAAGACAAAGAGTGATTTTTTTTTTCTTAGCTAAATACATTTCTGTTACTTTGCTACCAGGATTTTAGAACTGGGCTTTCAGAGATGTAAAGAAATAAGATCAGAGTTCTACACTAGCATCGACCAAGGCAGAAGATGCTTACTGAGTCTGTCTTCTATAAAACTGAGCAGCAAGAGAATGCATGCATGTGTGGGCGTGTATGGAGAAATCATGGTCAACTTCCTACCAAAATATTTCTTGAGAAATCTTCATTTCTGTAGGAAGGTCTGCCCAGAGGCTCAAAAAAAGATGTAAGTGGGGAGAACGTTCCAGAAAGGAAGAAGAGGGGCTTTTATTTCCAGACAGACGTATTTGGGCATCTCAAACACTAGTGCAAGCTGGTATTAGTCGGTAATTCCTTTTAGAAAGAGCTGGTTGTAAAGGGCGGGGGAGTTTCAGTGCTGTGGCAATACATGGTCAAAAAAGCAGAGAACAAAGTGCTTGGCATTCGCAGAGCCCTTCTGGTACTAAGGCTGTGTATATGGAGTTGTAAACGGAAACAGTGCAGCCCCTTAGCGTTAGGCAAAAACCAGACACGCGTGGCTAGAACTCACTGAAGACAAGGGGCCCTGCAAAAGGAAGAATGAGTCTGATCATTTAAAAAATAGTATCATATTAAGGACTAGGAGCTCCAGATGACTGCTTCCATTTTATGCTATGCCGTAGACTATGATGGTTTGGACTAAGCAGTCCTTGTGTTTATAAGTTTTGGGCTAATTTCTTGAGAAGTGATACATGAGAACAGAGTGCCCTGTGAATTTCCTTCCCTGGAACAGCTCTGGGTAAGAATGAGAAAGGGTACAGGCCAGCTCTCTATTTGACTATTGTCCTTCCCTGGGAGACATCAAGTTCCAAACTTTTCACAGGGTTTTTAGTGTCAACCAACACATGAAGAGTAATTTCTTTTTTTAAGTGTTCTCTAAACCATGTAGGGAATGCAGTTCGGAAGAAAATCTATAATCTTGGATGTGAGGATAAATTCCATTTTGAAACCAGCATCCCCTGGGGTCCCCCAAAGTGCAGTTTCTCCCATCCCCCTCATGTGCTCCCCACACCCAATCACTACAAAAACACATTTTCTAAAATAACACCGTATGTGTTCTCTACACACAGAGTGAGGGATTTTAGTTCATTGTGAACTTTAGGCAATTCTTGGTGCCATTTCCTTCCTGTGGAGAATGAGCTGGGATACATTTCCCCAAATAGGGAGGTAAATAAAGCTCAATGAAGCCACGGGCTGGAAACTTTTATTCTATTAAAATCATTTAATGAAAAACATAAAGGCAAAGTTCTGAGTAAAAAAAGAAATTGCAGAATAGATCTTAGAACACATGAAGAGTGTACTTGACTGGTTTATAGGTTAAGTTTGGGGTTGTTTCCATATTTGAAAGTCAATAGAATGTGCATTTTAAAACATTCAAATCAAAAGATTGCCCTAAGCATTCATTTTTGCATCAAAGAGAGAAGATGAAGGTTCCCATCTCAGATTGAAGAGTTTAAAGGAGACGTGCGAATGTATTTCCTGCCAGTGGAGCTATTCCCAGTTCTTGCTGGTTCCTGGGACTGGTCCCAGTCCTTTCCTCTTCTCTGCAGGTAGAATAGGTTGGTTTGGAGGTGTGTCATAGAAAGTTCCAGAATCTAGCTTGGGTAGTCTCTGTTCTATAGGCCTTTCCTTAAAGGTGCATACAGTTATGTCCATTTGTCATTCACAGTAGCATGACTCCTGGTTAGTCATTCTCCAATGAGACAAGACATGACTTAGAGATGGACCTGAGAAGGGTTTCCACCAGCTCCCCATGGCCTGGGTGTCTGTCACGTGGCTTGGAAATGTGGTGGGCTGAGGGAGGTGGGGGTGGGGAAAACGCTGACGAAGTGGAATGCAAATAGCATGGTAGGCCTGGGGAGGAGGCTAGGGAGATGCTGCCAGAAGGGTTTCCAAACCTTAAGAAGGCGTTCTCTGGGGAAATCTCAGGACGCCCCAAAATAGCACCATTCGCTTCTTTTTTTTTTTTTTTTTTTTTTTTTTGGTTTTTCAAGACAGGGTTTCTCTGTGTAGCTTTGCGCCTTTCCTGGAACTCACTTGGTAGCCCAGGCTGGCCTCGAACTCACAGAGATCCGCCTGCCTCTGCCTCCCAAGTGCTGGGATTAAAGGCGCGCGCCACCACTGCCCGGCACCATTCGCTTCTTAACGGAAAGTCCTTCATCTGTTCAGCCCATCTAGACACTCACAGGCTCTGAGAAGCTGGCTCGTTTAAAGAGACACTCTTAGCTTACTCTTAACTCAAGAGATCCAAGATGAGGGCTTGCTTCTGGTTTTGGTTCCTTTGTTTCAATAACCCTGACCTTTAAGGAAGGAACTCGACTCTTTGGCCTCCCCTGGCACGGCCGTCAGCATGCCATTCTTCCATCCTGTAGGCGTTAAGATGTCCAAATGAGATGAAGGATTTTGTCTCCTTTCCCTGGAGGCCCATAGAGGCTAAATTCAAATCTTCAGGGTGTTCTACTAGCTAGCTCCGGGTGGTAGCCACCATTTCCTATCTTGTTTCCCTGAAGATCTCTCCTCCTTTCTCCTATTTGAGAATCTTGTGTGGTACTTTGTAGAACCCTGATCCTAGAGCCTTAAGAAACTAGTCTACCCCAATGTTATCCGAAATTTGCCTTTGAGGCTCAGAACCCAGGAGCAGAGAGAGGGTAAGAGAAGGCTCCCCGTGGCACATAGCAATATCCCGGAACCAGGAAACGCGCAGAGCCAGGCGAACAGACCAGTGACAAAGTGCTGACAACAGTCAGGCCTTAGTAAATGAGGTGGCTTCTCTGCCTCCAGCCAAAAAGGATGGGATTAATCCCAGCTTGTCATGCCTGGGCCTTGTAGGCAGGATGAGGTAACCAGCAGCACCTGGCTGGGGTTCCTGCCCTTATTGAGAGCAGATTCCTCTAGGAGCTGCCTCCTACCTACGTTGACTTCACTGTTCAGTATCTCCAACTTTAACTAAAGCCCAGCGCTACCCTCTCGCCCTTACCCCTGAGATGTCCAACTGACCAGCTCCCCCACCTCCTAACCAGACATGAGCGTTCCTGCGTTTCCAGACTTGGAAGTCAACGGGAGCTTAGCTGTGGGCTGGGACCCAGATGACAGCGAGTGTGAAACCCAGATAGCCTTGGATAGGGCACGGCCAGTTGTCTTCTAGCCAAGAGAGAAAAGTTTTAGATAACTTCAGATAGTGTCTCTTGCTGGCTAATCTAGTCTGCTTAGGAACGCACTAACCCCCTGCCTCAGCTTTCCAAATGAGCACTGGGGGTAGAGATGTGGGCCTCCATACCCAGCTCAGGGGTGTCTTTTTTGTTTTTAAGATCTGGTGTGGGGGGTGGGGGTGGGGGAATGGGTGTGAATATACAGATATGTAGGAGAAGCGTGCCTCATACAGCCCCCATTCCAAAGAAAAGGCAAGAAGTGCCTTTCAGTAGGAAGTTTGTCAGGATTTGAGAAATTCAGAAATAGCTACTTGCAAGTGTATCCCAAGAGAGCACCGAGAAATTAATAAAAGGATTGCTATGGAGCAGTGAGAAATGGTTGGACTTTAAAAAATATTTTAAGCAAATTGGGTGTTCTTTGTAAGTGCTCATCTTCATGAGTGATATATATATATATATCTCATACACGTGCATGTGTGTGCACACACACACACACACACACATATTACACATACACAGCAATGATGATAGCTTGGTAACTGTTTACTTCTTGTTTCCTGAAGCTTCTGGCCTTGTGTTGTGACTATGCGGATGAAAGCACTTGACCACCAGGAAATCATTTTACTTGGAGAGGAACATATTAAGTAGGAGTACATAATTAGTTCCTTTTAAGCCCACACGGGACATTCCCTCTCCTGTCCCCTGAGACATTTTGCTGGGGAGCTGTATAGTCCTCACCTATGGGCAAAGACTGGCAGGGCCAAGGTTAAGTAGCAACAGGGACGAGGGCCAGTTGCTTCAGAGCTGGAATGGAGAGTGTGCCAGCCTCGGCCAGGATGGATAGAGAATTCAAAATAAGGTATGTCATGACTTACAGCTGGGAGAGTAGAGAAGAAGTAGTAAAAGTCAGAGGTCAAGCAAACTTTTCCAAACCAGGATCTCTCTCAGCAAGGCAGGGCCCTGAGAGATACGGTGAAATACAGAGACAACTGGACTCAGAATCAAGGACCAGTGGGTCCTTCTGTTACTAAGCTTCAGTAGCTCAAGCGGAGGGGTGGGATTATAAAATCCAGATGGAAATAATAAAGGGGTGGGGGATTCAGAAGTCAAACAGGGCATAGTCAACAGGGATGGGGTTAAGATCCAGATGGGTCAAGGAAGCCAGCAGGGAACTGTGGCTCTCAACGCTGTGTTCCTGTCATTGTAAACTCAGCTACTTGAGGCAGCTGTTCTAGCACCTGGAGAATTCCTTGTGTGCTCCAGGTCAGATCCTGAGAGCGGACATTGGATTGGTTCAGGTCCCTTAGCAGAGCAG